GTTTGCTGTTAATGTGACAATGACCTAACACTAACACACGAGTGTATTTCTGTTTCTTTGGTAAAGTAAAGTCTGGATACAAGCCAAGTGGCCCATCAGGTCAGAGCTTATCCCGAATTCTGTAGCATGAAGCAACTAGGAGTATTTCTACTCCCCCTGGACATGATGCTAGTCCATTACAGGGAACTTACCCCCACCATTAAGTTCACTGGCACCCATTATTTTATACACCTGGGTGGAGAGAGACACCGTGAGAGTAAAGTGTCTTGTCCAAGAACACAACACAAAATCTCCAGCCAGGGTTCGAACCCGACTACTTGATCTGAAGACAAGCATACTAACCATGAGGTCACCACGCCACCCACTTCTGTTTCTTTACAAGGCTTAAATTACGTGAGGTTGGATTCAAACTACATGTACACCATTGATCATCACAGCTGTATTTTACTATGAGCTAATCAAGGAGCAAATAAAGGGACCAAATAATTTTATTCAAAATTTTTACTAGTTATTAATAAAAGCAGTTCCAGCACAAACTAAAACTCAATAATGTTTTACACCTACTTGTCTATAACTCCTTGTGCTACTTCTTCAAAAACCTCGTCCTGTTTGCAGTCCTGATCAAAGACTTTGTTGAACCTTGTTTAATTTATAAAAACAAAACAATAATACATGTACGTTATTATCACTTACAGTGCCAGGTGACCCTTTTACACATGCGTAACAAAATTAACTCCATTTTATCTCAATGATAATATTTTAGTATGGACTTTGAGACTACACTGCTTATAGTAATACAGTAAGTCCTGTATGAGATAATAATAATTGTTTTCCATTTGCATTTTTTCTTCTAATCAGTCATGAATGCTATACTGTAGGTACATTATCAAAGTTGTTGTCTAAGGAGTCAAGAAGCCAAACTTACAGACACTAGAAAAATATAAGTCAGACTACAGGAGTTTCAAGATTCAGGACATAACTATTAAGTCTAGTCTGGGGGCTGATTTTACTGTGGTCAAGCAGATTGCTAGTGTGCAGGCCGTTAATTCTGGCTAACCGCCAATTTATGCTGCAGTTAAATAATTATATAACTTTGCTGCATATGTCTTTTATAGTGCAGGCTGCTCCCATCATACAAAAATCACATACAACCTTCATTATATAGCATCACATTATTGTACGATTTCTATAGGTTTTAAAACATGTTTCAAAATCCTGTAACATTTTCTGAGTTGTACACAACAATAATTGTTGTGTAATTATTGCAAGCCAGTTGAAGACTTGATTAACACAAAAGGAAATTTGTGTCATAGACCAATCCTAGGGGTAATGGTAAAGTTGTCACAAGTGGCATAGTTATGTCTTCTAAATAAGTGCTAAGAGCATCACACAAACCTAAATTTATATACTTCTTTCTTGTTATTGATGTAACCATCGGCCAGATCTTTTGGCACAGTGAAGGCAATACAGGAACCTCCACCCTCATCTTCATAAGCTTCATAAAGCTGAAAAGACAGAGAAAGAAAATTTAACTTAAAATTTCAATTAATATTTCACAGCATGTCAATGGATGAGCTGCCAGGTCATGTCTACTGGTTGAAATTCACTTCACTGAGTCCTTAGGGAACACAATAATTTAAACCAAGGGTTGGCTGGCTAATTCAGACAACATCGGGGGTGTTTTCCCAAATCATATTAGACCAAATCCAAATAAACTACGCTTAATAATTAAACAATGTATCTGTGAAGAGAGAAGAATTTTTTCCTAAACTAATAAGCTTAAACCTTTTTAATTAGAAAATCATTGTATTGTTTGTTTTTGTCTACATTGATTAAACGAAAATTCCTTGAATTTTCCTCTACTTTTCTGGATGTAAATGTCTTATTATGAGTTGTGTTAGACTCTACAGGACTCTATAGCAATACGGCTAGGATAATATCTAATAAGAAACCTGTTTATTTTCTTTTTAGCTTAATATAATTCATATTAAGCTTGTATCACATAGCTTTCCTTATACTAGAATAATCGTTATAAATCTTTGACTTACTCACTTCCTTATTAACAGGAGGTACAGTAGCTAAAGTATAGTAACTCTTTAAATAAACTCGCTACAAAATAACGAAGCTCGTTCAAAAAATCAATCTGTTCTGGCGCCGAGCTAGCTTACCCCTGCTTTTTGTTTTGTCGGCTTTGCCCTGGCATAAATCTGAATTCCTTGTTTCACCATCCTTCATGACGATAATAAAGCATCTAATATAGCACAGCAACAACTCTGAAATCCACTGCCATGTTAAAATGGTAATTATAACCAAGTAAGTTTACAAGATTTTAGCGTTGCCTTGGTTGTCGAAGAAAGTTGGAAATTTATGAAATGGGATCATTCGGGGGATTGGGAACGACTTAGAAAATAACCGCTGTCTGAGAAAACCGCTGTACGATCACTCCAAAGACACTTCATGTGTTCTTATAACACATATAATTCTTTTTTCCTCGAAATCACGGGATCTGATCACGAGGAAAATAATAACGATTGCAGTGAAGCTCTCATCCTCTTTTGGGTTGGGTCGCCGGTCGAGTAGTTCTACAGATCTGCACTGTGCTTTACTTTCAAATAACAAAATGTTGGCAGAACTGCTTTTCCTTGGCATTTCGCTTGTGGCGGCCTCCGAAGGAAAACATTGGGCGCTTGTTGTAGCTGGATCCAGTGGCTGGTACAATTACAGGCATCAGGTACCCTGTTCCGCTGCGCTTTCTAATCCTAGTTGCTGGTAGCAAGGAGACAATCACATCCCCTTTGCAATGCACAACTTAAACTTTTTAGAATTCGTTTAACTTCGTTTAACTTACTACCATCGCCAAGACAGTTCGCAATTGTCATATCTTGAATGTTTCTCAATTTTCTTTGTACGAAATTGATTGTTTAAGTATCTCAGGTATCGATCGTAGTAAGGCTGCATTTATTCTACTTGCCGGCCCTGCTTAAATCGGAAGAAATCATGCAAAGCTAGAATTCCGCTTCGTCACCTCCTACTATGTTAAACTTAGTCATTGCAGTGAAGTTGCCGGCGTCTGCAACACGATTACATTGTACACGATCACGNGCATGCATTGGGAATGTGATTAGATATCCTTATGTATGATGTAGACTTTTGATACTGCCACTGTAGAGTCTAACATGTCCTGGCAAGATTAAAATATTTCTTATTGTATTTTATTTTTTCTTATTTGTGTGGATTCATGTTCAACTGGGGGCTCAATTCAGGAAGATATTGATAAATATTTATAATAATAATGGGCAGAACCATGTACATCAAACATATAAGACAAACATTTTTTAAACATTTCTCTTTTTAGGCGGATACATGCCATGCATATCAGATTCTTCATAAGAATGGCATTCCTGATGAGAACATTGTGGTTATGATGTATGATGACATTGCTAACAATACACAGTGAGTTTTAAGCACTCAATAAGCTACGTTTCCATAATATCTTCCAGTGAGTATTATTTAGTAACAAATGGAGAATTGGTGAAGTGTAGATCACGCATTGCTCTTTAGCTCTATAGTCAATCAGTTACTTGTAAGTCAATCAGTTACTTGTAAGTATTAATAAAGACCACGCAGGGAAGGATGAAGGGTTGAAAAGCTTATTGCTCTTATGGTTCCGATGAAATTTTGGTTCAGCATTGATAAAGAAAAGTCATTTACATGACAAAATTTATCCATATTGTCTGCCTTTCTTTGGTGCGCCTACCATTTTAATTCAAGCCACTCAAATTTTGTTGTTGACTTGTATACTAAATTAGCCTTACATTATACATTATCAAAAATAATTCAGATACTTTTTTTTAATCAGGAATCCAACACCAGGCGTAATTATCAACAAGGTACATGTACTAAGTTGTGTTAATTAAAATGATTTTCATATAAATACATGTATAAAGATTGTCTGACATTTAATTAAAAAGTTTATTGATTGACAGTGATTTCAATTGAGAATTAGTCTATTATTAACAAAAACGTAAGGTAACGTGATGACATATGTTGGGAGACTACTCAGATCTTGAGTACATTTGGAGCTTAATACAGCTCTGTCTTGTAGGCTGACATAAAGTAAGGCCACTCATCAGCTAGTTTCCATATACACAGTGAAGCCTACTAAAATACACATCATCGATTTGGTTGCACAAGATGCAATAAACTGTTACAACAGACTGTCACAAAACATCGTAAAAACCATTACTTTTAATCAATTGTTGCATGTTCGAATGAACTTCTATAATTCATGCTACCCTGAACATGTTAATATTTATGCACATGCTGAGAAAATGAAATGCAGTTAATTAATTATATCTAAGACTGAACTTTTGTCGGTGCCTGCATGCATGTAGAAATTAGTTTGTTCCATTTATTTAGTGTTGCCAGTTCTGGTTTGGTGATGATGAAATGGTTCTCAATCATGCATAGGTTGCATCACTTAGTTAGGTTTGAGTAGGGTTTTGACTTGGCAAGGATCTTCCATGTGATGGTGTAGTGTTGCTGTTTGCTTTTAAAACGCCAGACGTGTTTGCTAAGTTCTGTGTCATTCTTGCGTGTTTCGTTGTTGAATGACACCTGGTGGTTTGAGGTAACATACATATTTTTTTGTTTTTCTTTAGCCTTGGGGAGGTAATGTGTACGATGGGGTTTTAAAGGACTACACTAAAGAGGTAAAAATTAAAAAAATACTAATGATATTTACATGTAAACTGTTAGTAGTAGTCAACTAAAATTATAATTGTAATTACATATGGGGTACTTCCTGAGGGGTGCAAAGAGGATTCAATGAGTGAGTGAGTGTTAAATATCAATAGTTTAACTTTTAGATAAGTGTTGATTGATCATTCTAATAATTATACACTTTTTTACACACTGTGATTTGTGTAATTAGCAATCTATTATTGATTATAGAAAATATTAATAGTAAAGTTAGGTAATTAAGCCAGCAGCATTTACTCCCTCTGACTGTATGTACGCAATAATGATCAACATTCCTGGAGTTTGTAATTGTTTTCCATACGATGATTACGAGTAGAGGATGTTTGTTCATTGCACACTACCCCCTCCCAGTATTTTTGTTTATGCACTGGCAGCTGGCCAATACCAGCTGTACTCTTGCACAGCACTCAGAAAACAGCACAATGCACTCAGCCATTGCTAAAGGCTGAACAAAGCTTAGGCTTAACTGTACTAAACATATTCAGGGCCAACATTTCACCACAAAAAAAGTATTTCCCCTGCACTGTACTACAGCTTGATGTACATTCAGTTGGGTAAACAAAGGTATACTGTTCTGAGTGATGTTTTAATCCCAATGTTTAGGACGTCACTCCTAAGAACTTCTTAAATATTCTGAAAGGAGACAAACAAGCCATGAGTGGAATTGGCAGTGGAAAAGTGATTGACAGGTACATAAACTACTAACAGTGTATTGGATTATTTCAAAAACAAGGCAAATGTTGCCTCTTCCATCTTCATATTTTTCTGTATTTTTGTGATATATATATTTTAGATTATTGACCAACTCTTTTTTGTGTCGTTATGGACCGCGACAAGGTTAAGGTCTATACACATGTACATGTATAAAAAACACAGGCATTATCTTAAGCCATCTTGTACAAACAGGCTTAGGATTATATTAATTTTATAGCATACAGGACATCATTTCTTATTGGAAATAGTAGGTAATTCCAAGGGACCAAGAGAGTTCCATCTTACCCTCTTGGGTAGCCAATAAATAGCAATCCACTATTTGGTTCATCCAGATTGCTTGCTAAACTAGCCATACAATAATTTATTGTGAATTTTTTTTGCTTGTAGTGGACCAAATGATCATGTTTTTGTTTACTTTACTGATCATGGTGCACCCGGACTTATTGCTTTTCCAGAGAGTGAGGTGAGTTTGATTAATAGCCAAGCCTCTGCTGGTTTTCTTGTGTCACTGCTCTTCTGTGAGCAAACACATAAACAGGAATACAATTCGTGTACCATATGTACTGAAGCATGTGCAAATGTCGCTGGTGTCACACAGATCATCTTCCATAATAATAATTGTAAAAGATGGAATGTTCAGCATGTCTTGAGTATAGGGCAAAGAAAAAATCCGAGTCCCTGATGGAATTTCAAACCCATCACCTCTCAGATACCTGTCAGGAACCCAAGTACAGTGTACTATTTGGAGAGACTTGTGGTGAGCTCACTAAGTCATTTACTGGGTTCATTCATGTGACATCCTACATCCTGCTAGAATCAGCAATGTCTGCAAGATCATCCTCTAGACATGCAAATTAACATGTATGGAGAAAAATAATGAAAGATGGTACTATCTAACTTCTAACCATTTTTTTCAGCTAATGGCAAATGACTTGATAGATGCCCTTAATGAGATGTCTGAAAAAAAGAAGTTCAGTAGGGTATGACAAAGCTTTTTGTTGGTGTTGTTGTTGTTGTTCTTGACTAGCAGTGAAATAAGCCAAGGATTAAATCACACTTAATATTGATCGTGCAATTCACCATGATTTATTATTAATAATGTTTTCATTTTGATATTTGTTTTTCAAGAGGAGCTGGAATCTCAGTGTGTAATTTTCTCAATCACACTCAACACATTCAAATTACACCTCCAGTGTGCACCTCCTAACATGCAGTTACTCAAACAGTCGCTGGCACTTGTTTATCTACCCCTTCAAAATAATTATGCTCAGACAAGCTGATTACACAACACAGTAACCCTAACATGGCTAACTACAGCCCCTGTAGGCACAGACCTTCTATCTACAGTAAAAGCCATTGTGCCCTTATCACAATTTTGCTGCTCTTTTGAGATTGACATACACTCAGCTTGTCACCACATGTGGATGTAGATTCATGCCGAGATATAAAAATTTGCATGTGCAGCAAGACATCTTTGCTATCACTATGTAAGCTACATGTACCACCAACCTTTATAAGATTAAGAGTTCACATTATGGTCTATCCCTTGGGAAGTGTGGTGCCCTCGTGGTTAGTACACTTGACTGTGGATCAAATGGTTTGGTTTTGAGCCCTGGCGAGAGATATTGTGTTCTCTTCTTGGGCAAGACACTTTACTCTCACAGTGCCTCTGTCCACCCAGGTGCACTTGTAAATGGGTACACTGGCGAATTTAATTCCGGATGTAACCCTGCTATGGACTAGCATCCCATCTAAGGGGGAGTAGAAATATTCTTAGTCACTTCATGCTACAGAAACCAGGATAAACCCTGGCCTGATGGACCACTGGGCTCGTATGCAGACTTTACCTTCAGTTACATTACCTTTTGAGTATATTTATCTATCATCATCATATATCATACATCATCATATATCATATATTTATCTGACTCACATCAGTCCACATGTAATTCGTCCATTACTAGATGGTGTTCTACCTTGAAGCTTGTGAGTCAGGATCCATGTTCGACAAGAAATTGAAGGACAATATTAATGGTATGTCAGCCTGGGTGTCTGTCTGTAAAGCCCCTCCCTACTTTTTCTCGATCACTTATGTGTATTAACGTCCTTGTAAAGTGTGCGCGTTGCTAAGGAGGTGAAATTTCACTTCCGGTTACTTACGTCAGCCTGAGCGCAGAAAATAATAACTACTCAAAAGCTTGCAAATTCGCTTACATTTTGGATGTTTTTCTTTGTGTTTCACAAAATGCAAAGTAAAAAAAGTACAAGCAAAGACAAAATAAGAGAAAGACAGAAAAACAAGAGCAATAGAAATAGAAAAAATAACTCTGTGTGGCTTTGTTTGATCTACCGAAGTGTGCTGGTAGTGTAAATTGCGCACGCGTTGATAGGGTAACTTCCAATAGATATCGGGCGCACTTCGGGTTTCTTTAAATGCTAAAGGAAACACGGTTTTTCGTTAGATCAAGCCTTTCTTGACAAATTTCGATTAAAGCCAACTTTGGAAACATAGCTATCCATTCCTTTTTCAAAATCNAAGGTGAGCTGTATACTAGCTATCATATCCGATTGATTTCCTAATATAAAGATTTAAAAACAAAAGTTGTGTCGTTGTTTTCCTCAGTTATCGGACAAAACACGAGTCGCCAGCTGGCGACCAGTTCCGAAAATTTAGTCGCCAGTGCTCAATTTTTGGTCGCAATGGCGACCAGTGAGTCACAATTTCGAGCCCTGTATAAAGTACAATTATAAGGAAATAATGCAAATAATTATGCTCTCAATTTAAAATACTCCAAGGGAAAAAAACTTTTTAACTGTGAACCCGAAATGGCAATGCCACAAGGTTGTTTGCCAGGTCTAACATGAACAAGATCCAACCCCTCTACTGTAAACTCCCCCTTGAGTGATTTGATACCTCACCTTTAATTTTTCTATTTCTGTTTTCGCCGCTTGTTTTGCCTTTCCTATTGCACAGCCATGATATCCCTAAAACAAGTCACATTGCATTATTTAGTAGACTATAAGTCAAATGTTAAGAGTTTTATACCTACTGGCACTACATTATTTGCGACTATCCACAAGATATATTTTTTTACCCATGAAACTCCTGAAGGGTCTATCATGAAAAGCTCAGGTCCATCAGGGCCATGTGAACTCAGTAGAACACTACAAAATAACACACACAGGACAAAACAATCATATCAATATTCAGTATGCAAAGTGAATAGACAAAAGCAAGTGACAATCAAGGTTGAAAGACTCCCTCATTCTCTTGGGGCAGCTAGGGAAGAAGTAGCGATACATAGAGAGGTAAGGAAAAAAAGGAGGACAGGATTAAGCTACATGAAGGGAGGGAGGGAGTGAGGAGGGAGGAAAGGAGGGAGGGGGAGAGAGATGGAGAGAGGGAGGGACGGAGGGTAAAGAAAGGGAGGGCGAAGGGTGAAGGAAGGGAGGGTGCAAGGGAGGGTGGGAAAGTGGAGGACAGCAGGTAGAAGGCAGGAGGGAGAGAGGGGCTAGGGTGGGAGATACATGAAGGGATGACAGGAAAGCTGGAGGTACAGTACTTGTAGAGACAGTGGCCATGATACACATGCACGGATGGAGAGGGTATGGACAAAGGCAAAGTAGGAGAGAGAAACATGTAACATTACATTGGAACAGAGGGAAAGAAAGGAGAGCAATGTACAGTGTTCACGGGCCATTGGTTCACCCATGTATAATATTCTGGTTGTGGAGATGCTGAAATATGACAGAAATAAATCTTGCCCATGAATACAACACAACTACCGCAATCAAGGCTTTAGAACTGTGTTCTTCAGCAACCAATCTGAATGTTAATACAACAAAAATCAGTTGTGCAGTTACCTACCTGCAACCGAATGGTCTGACAGCACTGTACAAGGTATGAGCGTGAATGTAGCCTGACACTCTGTCGATTAGGTACTAACAGGAGAAAAGAAACAGACTGTGTTACTGACATCTGACAATATTATTGGTGCACTTTGATGGTGGCCTTTTTTCTGTTAACAAAACATTCAAAAGGATCTTACTTTCAGGGGGATAGGAGATCCGTAAGTTGATCTGTAATTTGCAGCTTCATCTCTGGCAACACTTACAATCTTGAAAATAAAAATAATATAAGAATAAGGAAAGGAGAAATGAGCCACAACATTGCACAGGAAAGGAAAGATGCAATGATACAGTGTAAAAACTCATATTACTATACCATAAATAACTCATTTTTTATGACTGAGAAAATTACATCATTTTAATTGGCTGTGATGTACATCAGTAACATGACGAGACGCAGTGGGGTCTACCTAGAAGTACCTCAAAGGAATGTGGGGTAGTTATCCCCACATTCCTTTCATACTTGAATTTAACTCTGTCAGAGAATCAACGCCTGTGAAGCAACAGGCATTAAAATTCCCAGCTGCAGCTGTCAAAGAGAGTTATGTCTCTGCTGACAGAAATTTAATCGCCTTGTAAACCGTACCTTAATTAATTCAGAAATTGGGTACTTCCAGTCCAGATCCACTTGCGTCTCGTCATGATTTGCACTGTAGTGCAAATTAACACATGCTTGTTTGTTGTTTTCTCAGTCATATAATAAGTCAATCAATTAATGAAAGTTCCAGCAATCAAGGATGTACATTACTTATAATACTTGAATTTTTTTCAAATTGCACTAACCTAAAAGGCTTGTGCAATTTTAAGAGAATCTTCAAGTATGATTTGTTATGTATATATCCCTATTGCTCGCACATTCGTGTGATTACCATCAAAGCCAAATTACCTGTCTTGCATCAGCTATCAACCCTGCTACAGCCTAGAATGGAAACAACAAGAAACAACATCAAAGTGGGCTATAATCCAAGTAACCAGTTTCCTGGCAAACATATAGTGGCAAAGGAAATCAGCAAAAACAAAATTTTCCGATTTACTTTTATAATTATTATTATTATTTTTTAATTCTTCTACCCTTTTCTTGAATTTTCTCTCTTGTTTTTTTCCGTACCACTCATATTCATTTGGCTTTTGGTTATGTCACCGAATATCTGCCGCTCAGTCTCCATGGACAAATCATTACAGTCTTGGTAGTTACATCTACATATGAGCCAAGTGGCCATCAGGCCAGCATTTATCTCCAGTTTCTGTGACATGAAGCGACTTAACTGAAGTCTTTCTACTCCCCCTGGATGGGATGCTAGTCCGTCACAGAGTTACCACCCCCAGCATTAAATTCCCTGGTACCCATTCATACACCTGGGGGGAAAGGGGGGGAAAGAAGCACTGTGCAAGTGAAGTATCTTGCCCCAGAACACAACACAATGTCTCTGGCCCCAGGGCTTGAGCCTGGACCACTCAATCTGGAGTCAAGCGCACTAACCATGAGGCCACTGCACCTCCCTAATTTAGCAAAATTTCAGCTTCACCCAAACACTGGAATAAATACTCACCATACCAATGTGATTATCTATATGTATGATTCTTTTGTTTGCTCCATATTCATACAGTTTAGAGAGAACAAGTTTCTCAACACCAAACACTACACCATCCTTTCCTCGAATGCCGACAATTGTCCTATGACACAGCAAGGAAATCAATTAATAACAAAGGTGACTTGATGTGCACATAATTTGCTGACTCATTAATCTCACAACTTACCCACTATTCTCTACCGCCTTGACGGCATACTCCACTTGAAAAACTCTTCCATCAGGGGAGAACTGTGAGGCTGACAAGTCATACTGGAGTTATAATAAAAAAATGCAATTATCAAACCTTGTTAGTTTTTCTTAATAGGTATGATTAAAAAAACACCTAGTCTCAAGAAGTATAGAACGTTTATTGCCACCTTATAATATGCTATTATTTGTTGCAAATTTAAGTCGAACTGTCTCTAAGCACAAAATTTACAAATCAGGAAAGTTTTCGCACTATACTGTCAACATTCCACGTGCAAGATTCTCAGCACAATTTGCTACTCTAAGAGATGCCCACAACATAATTTTAAAGTTCAGAAGTTTCATACACCTATCTATAAGCTTACCCCAGTTCCAATAGAGCTCATGGTTGAAAATCTGTCCCTAAATCGTTTCAAAGAAAGTACGATAACTTAGAAGATTTACTTTTCAAAATGGCCGCTCGGGTTGACATGCGTAGTAAACTGCTAAGTCATTCGTTTCCATTCCTCCATTGGCAAGGGAGAATACCAAAAACTCACCTCCGGGGTGCCCAGAGATAATGTTTGGCAAGCCAGGGTTTTAGCACGTGCTGGTATTGGTGATTCTATTGTTCTCCGCCATATTTGGAAGCATGACTGACTTCCGTCACGTGCATATTCGCAATATTACACCAACACTTCAAACTGGAATTCTACTGAAAAAAGTGAATGGGTTCTGTCAGTCCGATCAGGTTGTGGCAGTTGAAAACAGGTTAGTCAGTTGCCCTTTACTAATAACGCTGTTATTTTTGTCCACATACATGTATATGTAGAGAAGAACGCACATTCTGTAGTGCTAATCGAGAGGTGGAACTTAATCAAATTTTTCTGGACTCAGCTTAGCTACTTCTATCTATATTCCATTCGAAGCTTGCGTGAACCGGAAATATCTGCATCGGTCCTGGGAAATTTCTATTGATTTTGAAAAATGTAGCGAGCTGTTGTTGCTTGAAATTGCTTGATGGAAATACATTTTGAACACTTTTTGTTATTTTTTGCGGCCCGATCGCTGTAAACATTGTCGAGTTCGTTTTGATTTTATAGAGATTTCAAATACATGTAATGTTTGTAGGTATCCAGGTATTCTGTCCTTCCTTCGATGGAATACAATGCTTTAATGCTTGCATATCTTCTATTTGCAAACAGAAGATTGCGACATCAGTTTCCGACTGGTTTGTGAGATAATAAATCAATTTGTAAAGAGAGTCTGCGATCGCTGGGTTTTTGCTTCGTACCAGCGAAATTGCGAAGAAATTGTTCGTATTTATTTATTCCGACTGTCTTCTGGGTTAGTTAAATGCCAGTGTTTTCGCTAATATTGTGAACTCGTTCTTTATTCAATCACACGTTTCGGTAATTTTGCAATAAAATAGCTCTCTTTTTCTGTTCGTAAATTGGTGATTGCAACATTCCCACATTGCGGATTTTTTCGTTCTTCAGACAGACGAAATTGCTTGCAACAACACATTTACCTGTGTATTACAAATCCTTTGATTATTATTCAAATGCAAGTGTTTTCGCTATTGTGAACTTGGCACTTACATTCAATTGCATGTTTCGATAATTTTACCAGAGAGGAAAAACTTTTTCAAAGGAGAAAATATGATTCAAAAATATAACCACTACATGTACATAGTTTGCAGTCGCAGACTGGGAACAGATGGAAAAGTGACCTAGTGGTCATTGGGTGTCTAGTTTTCAGTTTCGAAACACTAAATAAATTGATTAACATTATTACATCGGTAAAGAGGTTTAGAAGTTCTTGTTACTTATTTTTTTGCGCTTGCGAAATCGCGTGTATATTATGCAGTTCGCAGCTGGTGTTTAAATCGATAATGTACAATGTTTGTTTTTCTGGCGTTGCTTTCCGTGCGCTTATATTTTACTGCATCACGCGAAGACTGGGAATATTAGTTCTCGATCGTTCTAATGTAAAGAACCGTGAACGAAACAATAGTCTCTGTTAGTATTTACATATTTGAAAGGACAAACTCTCTAGGGTGCCTGCACTCTTGTACAAAGGTGAACAATTTTACCGCGAATTATTCAGTGCATGACGTTTCGCAGCTCGGTTTTAATAGTTCTTTTACTTGCTATCAGAATGCTATAAAATTAAATCGCACAGATTCACTGTAAACGATATTATAATTTAGCTTTCTCCATGTATAGTTTGCGATTCTAATCACTTTTGTCTCGCTGAGAGTGTAATTCTTTCTCCTTTGACCATTGTTCAAAAGTTACGTAGGATTATGA